TGTTTCCTTTCCTTCCTCTCCTCTCTCTCTTTCTTTCTTTCTTTCTTGGAGAGGCCTTGTAGCACACTGGAAGGACTCCATGGCCCAGGCTCCACCACCTTCCTGCTCCCTCACCCCAGTCCAGCCACTCTGGATCCCTTTGCATGTCCCCTGCATTCCAGATGCGCTCCTACCTTGGGGCTTCTGGGCAGCCATCCCTCCACCCAGAACATTCTTCCCTGAGACACAGTCATGGTAAACTCTTATTCCCTAAAATGTCTTTGTGCAGATGTTCCTTTTCATTGACGCTGTCCCATCACCCAGTTTTCAATCCCATGGACACCTCCTCCCACCCCCTGCAGTGCCAATCCCCCTACCTGGCGGCATCATTTACTTCTTTCATCTCTTCCCCCTAGAATGTCAGCTTCCCAAGGGCAAGAAGCTCTGTCTCCTTTGCTCACTGATGTACCCCAAACCCTTAGAACAGGGCCTGGACCCGTGGAGGCACTCAGCCCATTTTTGTTGAATAAATGAACGAAAAGGTATATATTTGACAAGCATCTCCCTAGTGTCCAGGATGCTATCCCTCTCGCTGCTGGCGTGGCTGGCTCCCTCCCAGCCATGAGATCCCTCCAGGTCTACCCTCAGCGAGGCTCTCCTGCTCACTCTTCCAGTAGCTTGTGTGTATCCTTGTAGATACAATTCATATACCACACAATTGACCCACTGGTATTTTTAAAGATTTTATCTTTAAGTAATCCCTATACCCAACAACCCAGCACAGGGCTCGAACTCACAACCCTGAGATCAAAAGTCACACCTTCCACTGACTGAGCCAGCCAGGTGCCCCTAATTCACCAATGTAAAGTGAATTTGAGTTGTGCATCCATTATCACAATCAATTTTAGAGTATTCTCAATGCCTCCAGAATCCCGCATACCTGTAGCCATCACCTCCCTGACAACCCCCCTGCCTTCTAGCCCTAGGCAACCACAAATCCACTCTGCTTCTAGGGATTTGCCACTTCTGGGCAGTCTGTACAAACAGAATCTTACCATCTGTGATCTTTTATACATGGTCCTGGCACTGAGCGTGTTTTCAGTTGATAGCCTTGTGAATTTTGCTGTATTTGTGCATGTGTTGTCTCTCCATGCCCGTGTTGGGGGATTCTTGGCCTGATGGGGGAGGCCCAGCAGGTAGGATGGTGCTGGACTCTGCAGCCTCACAGCCCAGTGATTCTGAGAACCCACTGGCCACTCTCCCCCTCCCAGGAGCCATGTCACTAGCTGGGGCCCAGGGCAGCCTGTGGTCTGTGGAGGGAGGCAACAAGCTGGTTTGCTCTGGCCTGCTGAAGCTCACCAAGGCCAACGTGATCCACGCCACAGTGACCTCTGTGACCCTGCAAAATACGGGTGAGTGAGCAGAGCAGGGTGCATGGCCACTCTGTTTCCTAGACCAGGGGCGCTTCCACCAGCCTGTCCCTAAACCCTGGTCTGTGAAAGGGTGCCAAGTGGTTCCAAAAACCCGGTGGGAAGTTCCAGCACCTCCAAGTGACACCAGAGGGCACTGTCGTCCTAATTCTAATGTCAGAGCCAGAAGGCTCGCCTCCAGCCAGCCCCGTTCATTTGACTTTGAGCCTCAGCCTTGCCCCAGTCCCTCCAGCTACTCAGCTGCAGAGCTAGAGCAAAAGTTCCAGACTCTTGACTCCCAGTCCAGTGCTTCCTCTGCAGCCACACCAGTGTGGAAAGCCCAGGACCCAGCATCCGGTGGGCCCTGCTATACCCAAAGCCTCATACCCTCAGCGCTGGGCCCCAGGTGGACATCAGTGGGTAGTGGGCAAGAAGTAAATTGACTTTTGTGCTCTATTATCTCTCCTTCCAGAAGGGAAACCCTTGTACTATGTGGAGTACGAGAACGAGGTGGGCAATGGGTCCGACTTCTATGACATAGTGGTCATTGCCACGCCCTTGCACCTGGACAACAGCAGCAGCTCCATCACCTTTGAAGGCTTCGACCCGCCCATCGATGCCGCCCAGGGCTCTTTCCAGCCCACCGTGGTCTCCTTGGTCCACGGCTACCTCAACTCTTCCTACTTTGGTTTCCCCGACCCCAAGCTCTTCCCCTTCGCCAGCATCCTCACCACAGATTTCCCCAACTTCTTCTGCGCCCTAGACAACATCTGTCCCGTCAACATCTCGGCCAACTTCCGGCGGAAGCAGCCCCAGGAGGCCGCTGTCTGGCGAGTCCAGTCCCCCAAGCCCCTCCTCCGGTCCCAGCTGAAGACCCTCTTCCGCTCCTACTACTCGGTGCAGACTGCCGAGTGGCGGGCCCACCCCGTGTATGGTTCCCCCGGCACCCTCCCGCGCTTCGCCCTCCACGACCAGCTCTTCCACCTCAATGCCCTGGAGTGGGCGGCCAGCTCGGTGGAGGTGATGGCCGTGGCTGCCAAGAACGTGGCCCTGCTGGCCTACAACCGCTGGTACCAGGACCTGGACAAGATCGACCAAAAGGACCTGATGCACAAGGTGAAAACTGAGCTATGAGGGTCTGGGGAGAGCCTGGAAGCGCCCATCCTCTGAGGAAGACGGCTCACCTCCACAGCAGCCAGGGCTGGAGAGGCTGCGCTGGCCGCCAGGCCTCTTGTGGCAAGCCGCTGCCCCTGCCGGCCTGGTCCCTGCTGCCCACTCTCTGCCTTTCTCTCTTAAGGACTTTCACAGTGTTTGCTTCTTGTTAAGGGGAGACTCAGAGAGGGAAGGAAATTCAAGCCTGTGTATTCATTTTATTTATTTTTTTTTTAAAGAAGAAATAAAAATCCATCCTCTCCAGCTGCTTCTGACTTGGTTTCCTAAGGGGAAGATGGGAGTGACTGGGGAGGAAATAAGGAGCAGAGAATGCCAAGTCACATTTCTTTATTGCTTCTCATTGTCTACTCACAAAATGCGAGGCAGCACCTACAATGAAACCAGGGTGCCTGGATGGCTCAGTTGGTTGAGCGGCCGGCTTTTGTTTTTAGCTCAGGTCATGATTCAGGGTCCTGGGATCAAAGCCCTGCCTCAGGCTCTGGGCTCTGTGTTCAGCAGGGAGTCTGCGTAAGATTCTCTCTTGCCCCTCTCCCTGCTTGTTCTCTCTTTCTTTCTCTTGCCCCATCTCTCAAATAAATAAGTAAATCTTGAATAAAAACCAAGACATGTACCAGATGGTTACAAATAAAGTAGAAGACCAGAAAACATAAGACATAGTAATAGCTCCTATTTCCTGTGTGCTTGCTAGATATGAGGTACCTAGTTAAATACTAGGTTACTAGGTACTAGGTACTAGGTACCTAGACACCACCTCTCAACAAGCCTCTCAACAACACTGAGTATTGGGAGAGATGACTGTGGTAGGACCCAAGGAAGAGATGGTTACTGAGATACTCACCTCAGTGAAACTGTTAGTATACCTCTGAGCTTCCTGGCAACCAGGGGGAAAAGGGGAATACACCAGGCCATGGGGAGAAAAAAGCTTTTCCTTGGCACCTGGAAGAGTTGACCATTCTGTCCATTATGCAAGGGTTGAAGAGTAACACAGAGGATCTTTCTTACAAGAATACAAGTTCCCAGATGGGGGAGGGCACCCCTACCTTACCCACAAACATTGACCCCAGCAGAAGGAAGAATGAAAAGGTGTCAGAAGGAGTTCTGAGATGAAGCTAAGTCTGATGCCCAGCTCCCACCCAGACCTGCTAATCTGGCTCTGCGGGAGGGCCCAGAAACCATGAGGACACGACACAGCCAAACAGCACTGATACTGTGCTTTCCTAACAGGAATGGCTCCCAAGGTCATCCTGCAAACTTCCCTCTTTCTGTAAAGATGGTGACAACAGCACAGCATGAGGAAATTACTCACCCAAAGTCTCTTGGTGAGTTCAGGGGGCTTAAATCTGGAGCGTCTCCCTAAAAATAATTAAATTCAGGAGTGCCTGGGTGGCTCAGTGTGTTAAAGCCTCTGCCTTCAGCTCAGGTCATGATCCCAGGGTCCTGGGACCGAGCCCTGCATTGGGCTCTCTGCTCGGCAGGGAGCCTGCTTCTCTTCCTCTCTCTCTGCCTGCCTCTCTGCCTACTTGTGATCTCTCTGTCAAATAAATAAATAAAATATTTTTAAAAAAATAATTAAATTCAGGAGTGCCTGGGTGGCGCAGTCAGTTAAGCCTCTGACTCTTGGTTTCAGCTCAGGTCTTGCTCTCAGCTTCATGGGATTGTGCCCTGCCTGGGACTCTGCGCGCTAAGTGCTCTGCTTGAGATTCTTTCCTCCTCCCTCTCCCTCCCCTTCTGCCCCTCCCCTTGCTGGTGCTGGTTCCTGCACACTCTCTCGCTCTTTCTAAAATAAATAAATAAATAATAAAATCTTTAAAAATTTTTTTTTAATTCAGCACAGACCAAAATACCCTGCACCCCCAAACTGGCCTCGAAGTTGTATTTGCTGCTCTGGGATGATAGTGGTGGAAGTGAAGAATGCCTTTGAAGTGCACCTAGCACTTACCTGTCGGTTATTATTGGATTTACAAAGCCGGCGCATCGGTGAGACTGCTTTGGCTTGCAGTAGTAAAAAAACAGCCTTACACTGGCCTAAGCAATAAAAAGGTCTCACTGGTCATGAGAGTCCAGGCACAGGGCAAGCATCAGCTCTGTGCCGTGCAAGACCCATTTCTTCTCTCCTGGTCAAGGATGGCTGCCAACAGCGCCCAGGGCAAGAGGTCTCTCACACAGGCTCTGTGCCAGCGGGGGGTCCCTGCTGACGGAATTAGAATTAGCTATGACCAAGCAAATGCCCCGCGTGCTGACTGACGCAGGGGAAGAAATGAAGTCGATTGGCTTAGAACAGTCAAGTCCCTCCCCAGGAGCAGAGTGGGGTCTCATCCAAACTACCAATTTGGAGAAGTGGAAAGGGTGTTAGAGTGACCAACCACATGCAGGATGGGGCTGTGCCCTCGCCCTCTTCTCAAGGCCAGTGGAATCAATATGTAACGACATCCATTCATGGTTTGTGTTTGAAATGAAGATGCCACGGGCTGTCATGGTGTCTTTGATGAGCATTGGTATTGGGCCAGAGAGAGCCAAGGCCAGTTTCAAACTGGTCCCTGATAACCGTCCCTCCCTTGCATTCCTAAGGCTGTGCGTACAGAAGAGGCAAATGAGGACAGTTACACCTGATCCCCAGTCCTCGGCTGGGGCTTTGTTTGGCTCCACGCCTCGGCCTCAATGCCGTAGAGCAGGCTCGTCCTTCAGGAACTTCTTTTGTCTGGGTAGACAGGCCTAAACAGCTCAGAACCAATGCGGGCCAAAATGCCCACACTTCTTGCTGGACTGCTTCCCCAAGCCCCGACCTGGGAGCTGGATCTCACCACCTCTGTGCCTGCAAGGAAAATCCAGAGATTCCTGAAGACAGCAGAAGGGAGCATGGGGACGGTCATGAAACCTTGGCCCCAGGGCCCAGCCTAGCCTTCTCAGACCAGGGTAGGAAGCCCCAAGGACCCACAGCCCTCCAGGAGAAGAGAAAGCAGTTGCTGGGACAGAGAGAGCCCTATAATCTGCCAAACAAGGAAGGAAGGAGGCCACCCTCATTCGCAATAGTCATGGAGTGGTGTGGTGGACATTTAAAACTCTTCACAGGGACTCCACTCTCAGAGCAGGTGACCTGAGTGAAACTTCAACACTTGGAGGTAGGGGAGATTGTGGAGGGTAGAGTTGGGGACTACCAAGGATTGGCAGGGGCTGAGAGGAATGCCTTTAGCTCTTGATCCACCTTTGAAGGAGCAACAGAAGCTGGGGCAGATCTTGAGCTCCCCCTAGAGGCCTCCATGCATGCATGCACGCATAAATTCATTCACCAAGCCCTGCAGCTGGTTTAGCACTGGAATGGGAGCTAGGTGCTGGAGATGCCTCGCTGAAGGAGACAGATACGACCCCTATTCTCATGGAAGGGGCGGTTTCTCGCCAAGCAGTGCAAAACATAAAACACACATAGACTCAAACCAAAGGAGGTTCCTGGGCACAATATAGACCCAGTGCTTTCCCTGGACCTCCAAAGGTCCTGAGCAATTTGCTGCTACCCTTTAGACCAGGGGGCTGAGAAGGACCAGCTGCCAGTCCAGGCTCACTAGGCCAAGTTCCTAAGCTGCAGAATGGTAACATTGGAAAAGACCTTAAAGATCCTAAATCCCATCTGCTCATTTCACAGACGAGAATACTGAAGCCCAGAGAGAGGAAAAGGCAGCATCCGTATAAAACTAACCAGCGTTTTTTGAGGATGTCTGTGTGTCTGATGGCCTGGTAGGAGTAGGACAGCCTGTCCCGCCAAGATGAGGAGTTTCCCGGCCCAATCCCTCTGCCCCAGGGAACCCAGGGTATCCCAGGACTAGAGCCACCCTCCTGCAGCTCAGCTCTTCCCACACCCTCACCCCACAGCCAGGCTTGAAGGCCATGTCCTAAGGCCCAGAGAGCAGGCTGTGGGGGCCTCAGCGATGAACCACCCCGGGGGAGGAGGAACGGCTGCTGAGGGCATCAGCCCAGGCTGGCACATGAAGTCTATTTTCCATGTGTCTGGAACCAGGCCAAAGCTTCCTGGGGTAATTTTAACCAGTATCCACTTTAGAACAATACCAAAAAAGGGAAGTTGCTTACTACCCCCAGACAGGCGCATACCTAATCATTGCCCTTTCATGAATTCGACTCTGAAAGCGTTCAGAGCGAAAACTGCAGGTAGAGGAGCCAAGCAAAGTATCCTCATGTTGGCTGTTGGCCCTCTTATTGAAATTACCCCTGAAGTGCCGGCTATTCTTACCCTCAGAAAATAGCCTCAGCCCCTCAGCTGTCTTGGGGGTAGGGAAGGTATTTTTAGACCCCAGAACAGCTGATTTAGGCTCCCTGCGGGAACTAAGAGGTCGGGGAAGGATTGAATTGCAAGGAGCTAATGGGGGGAGCAGGGAGTTATCCAGGGGGCAGGAACAAACAGGGGCTTTACAACAAGTCAGTCCAGTGCCTTTTTGATCAGCAGAGTGTCTTGATCTAAGCCAATGGTTCTCACCTGAGAGTTGATGGAGGGGAGGGGATGGGCAAGACGGTGGTGGGCATTAAGGAAAGCACTTGTTATGATGGGCACTGGGTGTGTATGAAAGTGATGAATCACGAAATTCTACTCCTGAAACCAATACTGCACTGTATGTTAACTAGAATTTAAATTTAAAAAAAAAAGAAAAAAAAAAAAACAGTTGTTCTCAAAGTGTGACAAACAATATCAGTGTCATCTAGGAACGACTGCATTGGAAACGCCAAATTTCTGGGGCGCCTGGTGGCTCCGTCGGTGAAGCATCTGCCTTCTGCCCAGGTCATGATCTTGGAGTCCTAGGATCAAGCCTCACCAAGTTGGGGGGTGGGGGGTGGTCCCTGCTCAGCAGGGAGTCTGCTTCTCCCTCTCCCACTGTCCTTCCAGGCCACTCGTGCTCTCTCTCTCTCAAATAAATAAATAAAATCTTTTAAAAAACAAAAGAAAGAAAGAGCCAAGTTTCAGCTCCCACCTGGAAAATACTG